GGCTCCACACCACCGACATCTCTCAGTCAGTCATCGTAGACCTTGAGCCGCCGCTGCCGCCCTCCAGCCAGCCGGCACCTCTCCCGCCCAATGAGACCCTACCGCTCGGCGAGGTCACACAGTACTGCCACTCGGAAACCTCGAGCGTCTTCAATGATGAAAGCCGTCGTGAACAGACTGCATTTGTGGATGTTGCCGAGGTAGGTGGCTTCACACTTTGAATCACCTTTGGTATCATTTCATCCTTCTGCCTTTTAGTTAGTACTTGCTGATCCGCTTAGCCTGTCCTCTCTTATCTTAAGCAAACAAATTGTACATGATTTGAATGGTATTTAGGTCAGCCCGCATTGCGTGTTCCTTTAACTGATTTGTTTTTGCTTCGTCTTATTTTTTGCCGCTCACAATGCCGTAGTATGCTCTCTGAGCCAGATCAGCATACCTGCATATCTAGTTGGTTGATTTGTTCTCCGCCGGCAAAAGAAAAATAATTCAATGTCAACACTGAACTTCTTAAGTCTTTCCATACAGAGACACCTGCTGTCAGGTGGGCTTTTCCTCAACTTGTGATGAGCTTTGCCCCCTAAAAGAGCCGCGTGGTAGGTGTGCTAGAACAACATGGGGGTCAGATCAGAGCAGGGCAGATGTTATTCGGGTTGCGCTCCCATAACAATGTCGATGAGTGTCCAGTGACCCTGCTTGAACTACCGTTTTCAGTACAGAACTGTGTTATCCATACTCTTCGCCTGTGTTGATGACCATCACTTTCAATGAAGTTCGCCATGTGCTCAGAAGCAAAGGAGGGTGGCTGTAGTCAGAGGCGAGATTTAAGTGAAATAGACGCACAGCCGTTTACCTCACTCTGAACCCCCCAACCCGCTTGAACCGACGACAAGACAGAGTCGAGATAACCAAATGGGATCAGGCGTAGGCCGCTTCCTGTAATACAGGCCAGAACACCAACTAACATAGCATTAAGTGGCAGAAAACGTTTGCGCTGGCACTACCGCACTATCTACCCCCACTCACCGTCAGCAGGTCTCAAGACAGACTCAAGGAGAACAGGGCTGGCTATTTCTTCTACTACTACTAACTGGCAGTGTAGCTGAGTGATAGTAGTACTGGTAGTACTACTGAAGCTAATATTAGTCGGAAGTGGCGCTGATTAAAGTCAGCGCTGGACTCCTATCCCCTAAGTCTCAACAAGGAGTATGAATCTGGGTTTATGCTATTCCGAGTAAATACACGCTTGAAGCCCGTAGCGCAACAGTACTCCCCTAGGTTTCCGACCTCTCAACTCTCCACTTTATTAAGTAATAGGTCAAGTTTTATCATGCCTTCATGTCGTATGGTGACATTTGCCTATCTCAAGCTACGCAAGGCAATTTACAGTCTCACGTGCATGACCAGGTACCTTGTTATTAGACAAGAAATCACCACTGTGCATGGTGTACTGCAGGTTATCCTTGCTGTTCTTGGCTGGGAATTTGGCCTCCATCGGGTTCAACTCCCAGAGTTTGCAAATCATACCCCCCTCCTCCCCCCCCGGGACGGGTCATCCTGCTGGCGCAATCCACTTGTTCGGTAAACCCTGCTGTATTAATTGAATGGTCTACATAACAGATCTCATTACGTCCTTACGTGTCGGTCCTATGTTCTGACGGGCAGGATGCCGGGACGGTGTTCGCTGGGCTGTTTTGTTTTTCCTTGATAATACGAAACCTGTCGTTAGTCTGTCTGTCTGTTAGACAGTAGACTCCCCAGTTGTTGTCGTGCGCCCACCAGTTTTTTTTTCATAAAATTGTTTTGCTTTATTTGACTTTCATCCATGCCATTCTGTTAAATGTGCTCTCTTTTTCTGTTTGTTTGACTCATCAGTCTCGCGAGCCGGATGCACGGACAGAGGTGACTCGTCTCCAACGAGAGTTGAGTCGTGTGAAGAGCAACCTCATCGCTCAGGTACACACATGCCCTTGCTTGCTTTATTTTTTTATGATTTCATCCATTTTATAACGAATGGTAAAAAAAAGGGTGAAGGTAATCCAGAGTGGACTGGCCAATGTGTAAGCAGCAGAAATCTTGGTGATGTTATTCGTGAAACAAGTGACATCCATCAACGTTATTGGTATTCCCTCACGCAACTTATGTAAGCCCTCAGCCCCTCTTAGTTCTTGTGCACAAGTTTTAGACCCTCAGATACAGCTGCCCTCGTTAACTATCAAATGTAGCTCCATACAAACGAAAATGCGATGTCTAGAAAGTAGTTGGAAAAAGGTGGACGCGATCACTGGGACAAGAATTTTATTTGTATGACGTTTCGAACCCTCCCTCGAACCTATCCTCATAAACAGTATCAAAATCTTACACACAGGAAGTTGCAGCATTTATAGAATGCTGTTGCTGTGTTATTATGTACCTATTACAATTGGCGGTTCTCTCTTGGTCGAGGGCATTTGTGACCTACTGGTGGCGGCTTCACTAAACAGCCAAGTGGGTTGGTCCTCGTGTAGAGGTAGTCGGGACAGTGTGTCATCTTGCAACTCGCAGTGTGGGCGTAGACGTAATCTAAACGAATGCTGCCATGTGCATCTCCCCTATAATCCATTTAACGCACAGGTCATGACCGCTACATTTCCTCAGGTAGCTGCAATAGTCAGTGTAGGAATTAAGAAGTTGGCTTTTCAGGATCTCTCCGATGTTGGCGTTACTTCATTACCCAGATGTTAAGTCATTTTTGGTTTTGTCATTTGACAGTAGTGAATCACTGTCGGCCTAGTAGCGGACATTCTATCGATAGATTGTGTTTGTGTGTGTGTTCGTTTTCTAATTGTTCCCTTTCTAAACCTCAGGTGAAGACAAATACTCGTTTAAAGGCTGCCTACAATGCCCTGGCCATGAGTCTACCCAGCGCGGAGCGCTCTATCGGTCAGTCGGCTTCTGGCTTCAGCCTGTCACAGGCAGACAAGGGCATTAGCCCATTCCTCCGTACGAGCAGTAAGTGACTTCCCGATGATGGTGATGGTGGTGGTCGCCCCCTCCC